TGGAAAGAACTGAAAGAAGGACAGTGTGACTTGAAACCACGGAGTAGTTAGAAATTAGGCAGGTGAGGTGGGCACAGGCCAGATCTCACAGGGCATGTTAAGGATTTTGCCCTTCCTTAAACTCAAAGAGAATCCACCAAACTTTAAATCAGGGAGGTGCTATGATTAGACTTGAATTTTGGAAAGATCATCCTAATTACAGTGGAGGACAGATCCTAGGAGGACAATGAAGATATGTGGGAGAAAGTTGGGCAATTGCACTGGTCCAGCCAAGACGGGAGAGTATTTGGGCAAGGGTGGGCTGCGGAGATAGAGAGAAATGCATGGATATGGAGTTATTTAGGTGTTGCATTTATAGATGTTCATGATGGATAATTTCAGAGAAGAAGGAGGGAGGAAATGCTAAAGAATAAATCCTAAGTTTTTGAATTATACAACTGGAAAAGTGGTGAAGTAGTTTTCTGATAAAAGAGAACACTTGGGAACACTAGAACACTAGTTAGCTATGGGAGGCATGATTCCAATTTAGAGCATGTACATTTTGGCATGTATTTGTGACATCTAAGTGGATATGAAGTAGATAATTGAATATAACTGTCTAGAACTCAAAGAAGCCTGGACTGCAAGGCATCATGGATCTATATATGGTATCTGCAGCCATAGGGCATCCTAGGGAAACACTATGTAACAGGGAAAGGGGTTTGGGACTAATCCTTGAGGAACTCTGTTTTTATTAAGAGAATATAAAATGAAGATGCCTGTAAAGGAGATTGAGAAAGAGAAATAGAAGAACTAGAAAGTGTACCAAAAGAATCTGGTGTCTAAAGAAGGCTAAAAAAGAGCAAATGTTTTAAGAAGGAAGTGGCCCACAATATTGAACCCTGCTGAGAGAGGAAGTAAAATTAGAAAGGAAAAACATTCATTTTATTTAGACATATGGATATTACTGGTGAATTTAGAGAGATTATTTTCAGTGGGGTGATGGTCCCATAGCCAGTTTTCAATGAATAAGGAATGAAAGGAAAGTGAAAAAATGGAGGCAGCAAGAACAGACAAAGAGCTCAGTTATGAGGAGGAAGACAGAGAGACTGAGGGAAGGAAAACTGAGAGATCATTGGTAATGTCTGCCTGGGAAGGCAGAGCAATGTGGTCCAAAGCAGTGGTGGAGGGATTAGTCTGAGAGGAAAGACACTTTCTCCAGCATATTAGAAAAGGTGGGATACAGGTATAAGTGGATTTGTGAGTTCAGTAGAGGGAAGGTGAAAGCATTCCTTTCTTCTGATACTTTTGATTTTCTCTGAACAAAGGAACACGGGCTCTTTTCCACTCACCATTTCTTTTAACCAAAAGGAACATCTGATTAAAATCAAGTTAAAACACTTTTAGAGGGTACTAAGAGAACTCAGTCATCTAATTGTTGGAGGAAAATGAGAGTGTTAAAACTGAAGAAATGATAATTCTAACTGGAGAAGGAAATGGTATCATTCTTTAAATATGTAAATACCTTTTAGGTAAAAAGAAAATGAGCTTGTTTTGAATTACACTAAGGGTAGAATCCAAGCCAATGGAAGGTGTGGAAAGTCTTCTTTAGACTCAGAATTAGGACAAACTGGATTTTTTAACTATTTGTACTGACCAAAGATGGAATAATATGATTGAAGGTGTGAATTCTCAAATACTAGAAGTTGTTATTCAAGGAGACTTTTATTTGTTTGGGTTGATGCAAAAGGGGGAAATTCAAATCCAGGAGGCTGAATATTGGGAGTTTCTATTTCTTTGATTGTTTTTCTCCTCTTTACAGCTTGAAAACCATTTGTTATCTCTTTAGTTCATTCTCCATAAGAAAATAGAAAGATGGGAAGATAAGAAAGAAAGAGAAAATAAGAAGTGAGAATTATCATGCTAGAGTTTTCCTATGAATTATGTTACTTCTACACTATTAGCCCAAACTGGAAGACTCCCCTGTCTTTCCTTGGCTTTTTTTTGCGTGTGTGTGTGTGTGTGTGTGTGTGTGTGTGTTTGGCTTGATTTTCTTCAGAGCTCTGAATACTCCCTCTATTGTCCACAGCAATTTTCCAAGTGGCTTATTCTCATTTTTTTCTTACTAAGCATATACTCGTGTTCATCAAGTGGCCTTCCTGACCCTTCACTTATGATCTCAAACTTTTGTATTCATTCTTGGAAAGTTTTCTCTTCCTACCATTTTATACCTGTTATTTTACAACCTGGGCTCTTCAAAGATCATCCTTATATAGTCACATGATTTTTTTCTCACTTTCTTCCTAAATCCACAAATAATAGCAATAGCAATTTTGTGCAGCCTTTTATAAAACATTATAGTACCCGTTCATAGGCATCATTGCATTTATCTCAAAGACTCCTCGGGATACAAGTTAGGTGCCACCAGCTCCAACAGCATCCCCACTACTGTAATCACCATTATAATCATCTTCATCAACTCTAATTTTTAAACAGGTCCAGAGAAGATAAGAGAAGTGCCTCAGGTCATTCCATTGGACACCTGAAGATCAGAGACTCCAGCTGAGAGCTGCATGACCCTAAAGCCTAGGCCCTTTCTATGCTTAAGGCTGCTGCTCCGGGACTGGCTGCCCTCAGCTGTTGTAAATTTGGAGTTGGCATGGTCATCTGCTCCAAACTCTACTACCAAAGCTCTTCCCCTTTGGTAGTAATTACATGGAGTCACAGTTCTCTTAGTTACTTCCTCAATTGCAAAGGATGTTCATTGAATTACTAAGTGAAATTTCTGAAACTCTCACTTAACAAATTCTCTTAAATACTAATATTTCTTTGATATTCTGAGCCAAATTATTCTGCCCCTTTTGAGCTTTAAATTTTCAAAATTATCCCTCTCAGAGGCATATAAATACCCACCATGATGCTGCATCTAACCTTTTAGTTTGTTGTCAGCTAGTCATTTAAGAACTGTTTACTGAATGCTTGCCTTGTACCAAGCACTGTCTAGACTCTTAGAATAAGATTGGTGAAAAACAAAAGATATATATAGAGAGAGACATTAATAAAATAATTGCAAAGATAAATGTCATTTTTTCCTTTTTTGCCCTTTGTTAGCTCTTTTGTTAGATCTTTTGCAGTTAATATCATAAACCGACCCTAGAAACTCACGTCTTTATGACCCTACCCATTTTTCAGTCACACAGAACTTTAGAGTGAGAAGGCAACTTTGAAATGAACTGGTCTGGCATTTCTCACACTTCAGTGTTTATACAAATCACCTGGGAATCTTATTAAAATGCATCTTCTGAATCAGTGGTCTTGGGTGAGGCCTGACATCCTTCTTTCTTGGGAAGCTCTCAGACGATGCTGATGTTGCTGGTATATGGACAATACTTTGAATAACAAAGATCTAGTCCTCTGGTTCATCACTAGGAATATGAACCAGAATACTTCACTTTCACAAAGTACAGATTTTTTGAATCACATTTTAGGAGGGGTGGAACATATGAAATTTGAAAAGGCAGTCTCAGACTTCCACTCCCAGTTAACATGAAAAAAAAAGGAACTGACAATAAAACCAACAATAAAAAATTGACAACATATGATATAATGGTTTTCAAGACACTAGGCATTAGGCAAGGGTAAAAATTACTGGAACAGATAAGAGATAACAGTGCCCTGTGTTTACCTAGAGCTGGAAAAATTTCCTGTACCTACTATGCAGACTAGAAAACTTCTTTGATTCATGGGGCATTAGTTAGAGTACTCAGAAAGGCCTGCCTCAGGTAAGGAATAATTGGCCTACAATGAGCACTGCCATAATCTCACTTAATAACTCTTAAAAGCAAGACAAAAGGATCAAAGTGTTTCCAAGAAACTTAACTGCATTACAGAATAGAACTCAAGAATATTTATAGTAATACAATTACATAGCAACAAACAAGGGAGAATCCAAACTGTTTGGCATCTAATGAAAATTTACCAGGTATGGAAAGAAGAGAATACAATCCATAATGAGAACAAAAATCAGTTAAGTAGAACTGACACTGAGCTAACAGATGTTAGAAGTTGGAGATAGTAATACAGATGAAGCTGTATTTCCTATGTTTAAAATGTAGAAGTAAGGATAAAAAAATATAGTAAGTAGGATTAATAGCAGATTAGACATTACAGAAGAAAAGATTAGTGAACTTAAAGACACAGTGGTGGAAAGTATTCGAAATGAAATACAAAGACAGAAGAATGAAAAGAAAGGGAAATGAAGCAATCATCATTGTCCTTTGGAACAATTTCAAGGAGGCTAATAATGTGTAGTTGGAGTCCCTAAGGAAGGGGGAAGTTATTAAAATCTTTTTCAGAATAAATGCTGGAAAATCTGCAAATTTGATGAAAACTATAAAACCACAAATTTAAGAAGCTCGATGAAGCCCAAGAACAAGAAACGACAAAAACTGTATCAATGCCCATCAAAAGCTGTTTAAAGCCAGTGATTTAAAAAAAAAACACCTTAAAAGCAGCCAAAGTTGGGTGGAGCAGGGAATCATGTCATGTACAGAGAAACAGAGGTAAACATGTCAAGAAATTTTTTGTCAGGAGCAATGAAAGACAACAGAGCAACATCTATAAAGTACTGAAAGAAAAAACTGTTAACCAAGAATTCTATACTAAGTGAAAACACCGTCCAAAAAGGAAAGAGAAACAAAGGTTTTTTCAGACATACGAAAGGTGAGAGAACACATGGCCAACAGACTCACTATACAGAAAATGAAAGTTGCTATGGCCAGGATTCTCACCTGACAGTAGTCAGCTTGCTCACTACACATGTGTGGGCAATTATGTTGTTACTGACTCTATAAAAGAGCTCTGCACGGTGCAGGAGAGCAGAGGCTGGAGTGGCATAGCATTGCTGAGGACAGACTGAGACGGCTGCAGAAGCCGAGAGGCCCAGAGGCAGAGACCCGCTTGCTGCATGCAGGCCTGCCACCGTGGGAATAAAGCTGGTATAAACCCTTTCACCCCAACAACGTTCCATTGTCATTATTCGGTCTCACCGAAGTTCAAAAGTGAACTTGCCCAGGACTGAAACCCACTGGCAAGTCACTCACATTGTAAGACAATCTAAAGGAAACCCTCAAGCAAAGGAAAAGGAAACAAGGTGGAAACCTGCATCTGCAACAGGAAATGCGGAGCGCCGAGACGGTAGCTATACTGTTAAATATGTGCTTTTTTCTTTTTTAAAAAAATCTGTTTAGAAAATGATTGACTCTTTAACAAAAATAAAAATAGTGTAGCATGGAGTTTATGAGATATGTAAAAGTGAAATGAATGCTATAGTACAAATATCAAGCTTGAAGAAATGGAAACATTTTGTAAGGCTTCTTATTCTGTGTGTATAAAAAACGACATCTTCAGACCAGTTAGTCCCAAACCAACACCATCATTTTTAGCAGCAAACCTTGAACATTTATCCAGCTTAAAGCTATACAACTTATTACATCGTTTCAACCCCCTCATTTTTCCAGAAGCAGATTCTGTTACCAAGGTATTTGGGAGATTGCCTAAGGATGCCACATTGCTCATCATTTTATATTCAATGGGTAATAATAATAACTAAATTTCATTGAAGCTTTACATACAATAGCTCATTTACACCCTACAGTAGCCCAGTGAGGCAGTACCTTTATAAGCTCATTTTACAGATAAGAGATAAGTAGCTTCACCACTACATATACTGCACTCTTTATTTATTCTTTTGTTTTCTGGGAATTTCTGCTTGTTAAAATCTTCTAAGTTTACATTTTTGTGGCCTCACTATCAAACATTGGAGGCCTTGAATGTTTTCTTCAAAATATTATTTGGGGTCTGTTTAAAAAAACAGCTTAATTTATGATATATATATATATAATATATGTATTTATATACTATTATATTTTCCATACATACACACACACAAGATATATATGTTAGTTAGTTAGTTAGTGATGGGGAAATATAAATGACAATCTTTGACTTTACTGAGCCCACAGTTAATGGGGGGGAGGAGGCAGGTAAGAGCCTTTCATTATTACACAGTGGTGTCAATACCAGGGTAGCAGAAAACAGAGGTTATGAAATCACAGACAGAGCTTTTGCTAGATTTCCTTAAGAAGCTGGAAGAGACTTGGTAAATATTCTGGGAAAAGCTAATTAGAATTCTGCAGTTGCTTCATTATTTAGTTCTGTCTTTTAAGATTTGATTTAAATTATACACATCTGTGCTTGGCAAGCATGTGCACATGTGTGCACAGGCCACAAATTGCCTAATGCAAGGGATTGGCAAATATTTGATAAATCAACAGAAATTTACATATACATTTAACCCACCAGAAACTGTCTTTAAGCATTTATTTTATGCCTGTATTTCTCTTTACACACTTTGGAACACCTGCCGCTGCCCTGCTGGGACTTGAGGGTTGAGGTTTCTCCTCAATCTAGCTTACAAACATATTCCCAACACACCTGCCTTTGGGGCTGTAATAGTTTCCAAGGCTGCCATAACAAATGACCACAAGCTTGGTGGCTTACAACAACAGAAATTTATTCTTTCACAGTGTGGATGCCAGAATTTTAAAATCAAGAAGTTGACCAAGCTGTACTTTTTCCAAAGGCTCTAAAGCAGAATCCTCACCTCTTCCAGCTTCTCATCTCCTTGGTTGTGGCTGCATAACTCCAATCTCTGCCTCTGTCTTCATGTGATTGCCTTTTCTGTGTCTGTGTCATCTTTTGTCTTTTATGTCTAGTGTCTTTTGTCTTTTATGAGGACGCCTGTCATTGAATTTAGGACCTAATAATCCAGGATGATCTCATCTTGAGAACCTTAATTATATCTACAAGACCCTTTTCCCAAGTCAAGTCACACTTACAGGTTCTGGGGGAAAGGTGGTGGAAATATCTTTTTGGGGGCTACAGTTCAACTCACTACAGAAGCATTTCCAGTGAGGTTAGGAGTAGGGTGAGGAGAATGAGGCACTCAACTCTGCTGCAGAATTTAAGGGGGAATCAGAAAGCCTTATTAATATAAATAATAAAATATTTCAAACATTATTGCAAAAAGTCAAAGATTTAAAAATGCTAAAAATTCAAATAAAGACAGGATCAGTACTACTGAATTTTTTTCCTCCCCGATCTCCCATATGGCTTAGTGTGCCATTAATTTCCAACAGTAGCCAAGCCTCCGATCCATAGTGAGGAGCTGAGCCAAACCCACCATCTCCCTTGCCATTATTTAGATCACCCTTCCCAGAAGCATTGCTCCAGGGAGCTTTACTCAGGAGACGAGGCCACTATGTGCTCCATTTCTCGCTTCCAAAGCAGGCTTATTTGTCTTATGAATTGTGCAAACACCTCCTGAGAAGCTAATTAAAATGGAAGCCCATACTGCCGATTCTGGGAAAACTCCAAATAAGCATCATCAGGCTGCCAGGAAGTGTTGTTACTACACACACCCAGGCTCTCAGGGTGGCTTAAGAGTGCAGAAGACTCCCAAGGACAAACTCTGAAAGGTGACCATAAGGTAGAAGTTTCTGTGCCCCACTACACACACAGCACAGGGCAAATGAAAGGCACTCAATTTGTGTAAGAATAAATACTGGGTTCATGGGGGTGGGTGGAGTTTAGGAACAGGAACAAAATTGAATTCCCTGCGTCCCAGCACCTCTAAGAAAGAAGAAATGCTAATATACATTTGATTTATATGCTATTACCTAAAGCTAAATTAACACTACTAATTGATTATTTAATGCTGAATAATCTGCATGAAATGATTTAATGCTCAATAATCAATCTGAAATAATAACCACTGAGAAAGTATAATAAAAAATATGATCACCGTTATGATAGTGTAGCAAAAATATTTAAAAATATTTAGGAACAAACAAGACAAAATAGGCAGGAACCATGAGAAAAAACTTGGAAACTTTATTTAAGAGCATAAAAGAAGACATTACCAAGTGGCAATACACACCATGCTCCTGGGTGGAAAGACTCAGTATCATAATAATAGAAATTCACCTCAAATTCTCATAGAAACTTCTTGTCACTTCAAAAAAGAATCAATGGCAGTTTTGGTGGGGTGGATTTAACTGATTTTGAGATTCATCATGAGAATAGCTGAAGAACTTTTGAAGCGAAAAAACTATGGACAACATGAACTTCCAAGTAATTAAAATTACTATAAAGCTGCAATAATTAAGGAACGGTGTTACAGGAAAAGAAAACACATATGTAACAGAACAGAAAGCCTAGAAACTGAACTTCCTATGTATAATTCTTTAATATGTGATAGAGACTTCACAGTAAATCATTTTCTAAAGGAAAGCTTGGTTAATACTGTTAAAACCTGGAGTTATTAGTTAAATAAAAGTAGATCCCTATTTCATATTATATATGAATTAAATTTAATTGGTTGTAGAGTTAAAGGTAGAAATGTATTATAAGAGTGGAGATAGACTTTCTAAGAACAAAAACAAGGAAAACTATAAAGGAGAAGATCGGTCCATTTTTCTCCCTAAAATATAAAATATGTATGTTAAAACTCACCATAAACAAAAGTAAAGGAAACAATAAATGTAGAAAATATATGCCACATATATGGTAGGCTTCCCAAAGATCCATAAAGGTTGATTTTAATTCTCCAAATAAATAAAGCGTTCTCAAAAATCAAGAAGAAAAACAAAACATGAATACTCTTGTTTTGAAGCTTATAAAACAGAGTTCATTTAACAATAAATCAAGATGGCCAATTATTATGTGGAAGATATTAACCTTACCTGTAACAAGAGAAATGCAAGTTAAAATAACAATGAGATACCATTTCCCAAGTTGTCAAAGTTATTTTGAAAGATCAAACCTGATGCTGAGACTCCAGTAAAATTAGCACAGACATCTTGCTTACTTGTGGCAGAAGAATCAATCAATAGGACAACTCTTTGAAAGCGATATGGCAAAAGTCTAACAATAATTATAATCCTTTAATTTAGTAATTCTATTTTTCAGTGAAATGGACTTAGGAAATGATCTGAGTATACACATAGGTTTTTTATTCATGATAATATTATTTACGTAGGCAAAAAAGCTTTAAATAGTCTCAACATCCAACAACATGAAAACAAGTAAATGAAAGGAATTTATGATGCCACTAACATAATATTTTTGAATGATATTTAATTATACATTTCAGTATATTTAGGTTTAAATTTATATGCATTCCCCAGGAAAAAGAATACTTAACACCAATACATTAATATTAGGTTTTCTGAGGGGTGAACTTTAGACTGGCTTCTATTTTATACTTTTCCATGTTATTCAGTTTTTCTATGGTTGGAATACATTATTTTATCATCAGAAAAAATATGAAAAGAACAAAATTATGTTTAAAAGTCTTGACCACCAGCTCATAGGATTTCAATACTTCAAAGAGCATTAGCAAGAACCTGACCCAATCCCCTTGTTTTTCAGACAAAGAAACTGAGGATGCAGAAAGCTAGATGATCGGAAAGGCCAAGAGCTATTGCAAGCACAGTAAGTGTGTTTCTCCAAACGCCAGACTATTTCAGAGCATTCCTTTGCAGTCATGCAAAGGGAGAATCCACAAGCCCTCGGTGCTCTTCGGGTGGAAGGCCAATGGCAATTTTCCCACTCACCTTAAGCTCTTGCCATTCCTGCTGGTACTGTAAGACCAGAAAGCAAAGGATATGCTGACCAAGAGAGCAACCCTCACCTGCCCATGTCCTTGAGCAGAGTTTGAGTTTTTCCCAGAACTTGGAAGTCTCCATATGTATTCAAGTGACCATGGCTCTCCACTCCAGACCTAATATCTAGGTCCCTTCCAACCAAAAGTAGGTGCTGTGGATGAAGGTGGTGGTGTCATTTCCACTGAGCATAATGGGAATGGCAGAGTCATTCTGTGGTGGCCCTGGTCATGGAGGAAGTACAGCAGCTTGTTATTTAGAGAGGGCAGAAATGGGCAGACTTGCCAAACAGAGAGTTTGTGGGAAGACCCAGAGTTTTGACAGGGCATTATGGGATGCCTAGGGGTGGGAGGTGGTGGCATCTGATGTGGCTGGATTGTGAAAGGCCTTGGAGACTGCAGAGGACTGAGGGAAGTCCAGAGCAGGGGTGAGCAGTGGGAGGGAGTAGGAAATGAGCGACGCAAGGCCCCCGCCCCAATAGAGAATGAGCAATCACTAACCGAGTGGGGGCGAACTGGACCCGCAGCAGAAGAGACTTAGAATCACTTCCTGTGGGGGGGGGACCACAGTCAGATACATCAAATGCCTCCAGCCTGAGGCCCAGGACAGCCTGGATGTGTCCTCAGCAGGGGCGTCTGGACTGCCAAAGCCATACTCTGTGCCCTGGCTGTACATTTTCCCCTCCTGTGGCTGACAGTGGATGGCTGAGAGGAGATCTATGGTTTCAAAAGAAGAGTGAGATTAAGGCTAAACCAAGAGAGGAAGTGACAGAACTTAACTGAGAAGAGCTTTCATCTGTGAGAACCATCACTCAGAAATGCAAAAACGAGGCCTGGTGCGCAGCTGCTTTGCTGAGGGCTGCCTGCTCAGTTCACAGATGACAGATTTGGGTGGTGGGTGAGCTTAGGGAACAGAGGCCTGTGTTCAGACCCCAGTTCCACCATTTCCTCAGGTCCACCACTTCCTGATTCCCTCAGCTCCTTCACCACTCCAGTACACACGGATCCTCTGGGTTCCGGGCAAGGTGATAAGCAAAGTTTCCTCATCTGTAAAATGAGGATAATAATAGTCCCTACCAGGGTTTGAGTGGGTATAGAGGATAGGGTAGGGGGATAAAGGAGCGCAACAATTCATAATCAGTATAAGTTGATCATGGGGACTGTTGAACCACTGTGAGGTATATTTGAAACCAAGTAAGATTGTATATTAATGATACTTTAATAAAAATTTTTTCAAAATTAAGAAAAATAATAGTCCCTACCTCATAGAGTAGATAAAATGGGAGATTGCCTAGAGCATGAATAATACTGAACTATTAGTGTTAACTTTTCCTTCTCTTGGCATGTTCTTGGTATCCAGATCCATTGTTTGCTTTTATATTAGAAGAGAAGAGGAAAGGCATAAGTAAACAGCTGCTTATTGAGTCTCTGTCAGGGCTTTACATTAATTACCCTTTTAATCTGCCCTAAGGCCCCATGAGAAGGGCATTAAGACCTATCACTTGCAGAAAAGTTGTAACTCAGAGAAGAAAAGGCACTTGTGTTAGGTCCTAAGCTAACTTGAGGCAAAAAAAAGAATTCTGTTTACCTCCCAAATCCCTGCCTGCTCCACCAGTCAGGCTGCCCCAGCCTGTACTACCTTCCGGGCCCAAATCTCCACAAGCTTAGTGCCACCTGCCCCTACACAGTGAGTCCAGGGAACAGGGCTTTCCTCCCCCTAGTCCCAGAGACCTGGAACGGGGGCCCTTCTTTTACTGACCACACTGACCTAGGCCAGGACATAGGCAGATGCCATCCTTGGGCTTGGGATGGCTGCAGGCCACAGGCACCCTTTCGATAGACAGACACCACACCCAGAGTCCCCTGCCTAGCCAAACATGGGAATTCAGAGGACCAGGAAAATCTGTGGGTGCTTCTGCCCCACGGGGAGTTTCTGGAGCTAGAGAAGCCTCTCAGGTTGCAAAGAATCCAGAGAGATGAGGGGCTGGAAATGATTTTAATGATGTGGGATCACAGGGGGTGGAGTGGGTAGTGGGCTAGACAGCTGGAGGAGGCTTTTTCACATGCAACATCCCACAATTCCCTCTTGTGTGGCTTTGCCCTGTCACTATACAAAGAAACCGAGGCTCAGACATGCCACACAGAGAGGCTGCTTTATATGACAGGAAGACCTGGGCTTGTACTTCTCTGAGATCTCTGTCCCATTTCTAATTTCTTTACTCATTTTTTGTGTGATCTAGGGCAAGTGGCCTACCCCCTGTAGTAACACAGCAACTACATCTCACAGGTTCTGAGCCTACTGAGGGCTGGGCCCTGTCCTAAGCTCGGAATGTTTATTAGTCCACTATATCCTCAGAGTAACCAGAGGACAGAGGAGCCATTATCTTCTCCCTTTCATGGGTGAGACTGGAGCACTGTATAGGCTTCAACCCCTTCCTCAGGGCTCAGAATGCTCAGCATATGTCCCAAGGCCACTGTGGGCAAGTCCTTCTTTACAGAGCGGAGAGATTCTGACAATCAAAGGACAATGTCAGATTTTTCTTTTTTTTTAAAAGCCACCACTCTGGATGATGCCACGTGAGGGAGGTTTCTAGAGAGATATGAGTTCAGGTTTCTGAAGGGCAGGAGCTGGGTGGCTCTAGCCTGTTTGCTCAACAAAATCACCTACCAAGACTCCCTCCCATTCAAAGGAGCAGAGCTTCCTCCCCCATGCCAGGCTCTGTGTTTCCCAGGCCTCAGGCCAAGCTGAGGGCTCTGTGTTGAAACTCTGTAGAAATCAGGGGAAATCTGTGCTGGGTCAGAGCCTGTACAGTTACCGTCTGGGAGTTTCCAGCTTTGTGTGGGCTCAATGTCAACATTTCTTGTCCAAGAAATACTAGAACTGGGTAAGGGACAAAGTTCTCTTTACCCTGCCTAGGTTATTGGCAAGAACACTTAAAGGTTGTACTTTTATAAAAGAAAGAGAAATTGCTCCAGCCTGATTGTTGTGGGGGAGTAAAGGGCCCACATCTGTCCCATGTCCTGTGGGTTTCACATCCTGGAGGCAAGGGGAATTATCCCCATTGTAGAAAATGGGGAGCTGAGTTGGCCAAGGTAACCCAGCAAATAGTAAAACTGGGAGATTGCTCTCTTTCCAAAGCCAAAGGTCTTTTCACTGCCTATTAGTCCTTGCTAATTCTCCAGCTAAGAGAATGTGGAGTGGTGGTCTAAGATTGTAAAGTGACTGCTTGGGTATAAATCCTGGCCCAATAATGGTTAGTTGTGTGACTTTAATTGTCTTTATTATCTTTGGTAATAAAGACTAGTTGCTTCATCTCTCTGAACCCCACTTTTCTCATACATAAAATGAGGCTGATAATACTAACACTTTCTTCATAGAGATCTTGGATGTTTAAAATGGGTTAATGTGGGGAGCTGTTTAGAACCATGTACCATGACATAACATCAGCTATTTCAATCACATAACTTGACTGAAGAAATGCACTGTCGTTTTACCAAGTATGTAGTGTACCCTAGAGGAAGGGAGAATTCTTAATACAGCAAGCCAGTCTCTGTGCTAGGCAAGTGCTTCAGGTTCATTACCCCAGTAAATCTCCATGCAATCCTATGAGTGAGGGGTATTACAGGTGAGCGAACTGAGGCAGGGAGAAGTTAAGCCACAGGACAAATCTTGCACAGCTGGAGTATAAGAGCCGGGACTCAAACCCCAGCCTAACTTCAGCACTTCCGCTTTCTCCTTTATTGCTCTGTCTGCTGCCTCTGGTGGAAATGGAGCAGCCCACGGGGAGAGCATGCAGATGTCTGCATGTGACTAGGGGCATGCAGGGGAAAGGGGAGTTGCCATCTGACTAGTGTTGCCTCATTTCACAAATGCATTATTTCTAGACAGGTTCTCTGCATATTTATTATGGTTAATACCTTAGATGCTCAATGCACAAAGGCAATTCAGGAGATTCCTGTAATTATTTTAAATTTGAAGACACTGGTCTGTATCTATTTGTTTGTTTTCTGCCTACTATGTGCTAGACACTGGTGCTGAAAGTAAATGGAGAAATGATAGAATGATTAAATAATGACATGGTGCAAGCATACTTACAAACCATGCTAAACTCCATGACAGAAAGTTCTACAGCATTAAAATGGATAGATAGGGGTCTGATCTGATCTTGCTGGGGCTCAAGAGATAGACAGCATGCAGAGGCCTAAAGGAAGAAGAGAAGTTAACTAGGTAAAGAAGGAGAGGATCAATGTTACGGAGAGAAAGAGCAGCATGTGCCAAGGCCCTGAGGAAAAGGGGGCATAGACTCTATGAGTAATTGAAAGATGCCTGTTAAGTCTAGAGGACACAAAAAGAGGGAGAAAGATATTCAAGATGAGTCTGGAAAGAGAGGAAGAGGCCAGAATATGTAGAATGTTGGTGAGCACATGAAATTGATCTGCATTCTAAGAGAATGGAAAGGAATTTAGTTAAAAAGAATGATTTTTGATGAATGCTGTAAAAATTCAAATAATCTGTTTAGGATTTGGTTAATTCAACCTACCCATCATAGTGTGAAGGGATGACAAATAGTCTCCAATTTGCCTGCCAACTCGGAAAGGTTATTCGTGGCCATGGGAATAATGTGCTGAGGACACTGTGGCTGGATCTGGATTCAGTGGGAATAATTACTGTTATCCAGTAATAATGGTGGCCTGGGATGGGCTGGAGCTGACTGTTCTCTCTCAGGCTGCAGAAAGCACCATGCTTCAGGCATCAGTATAACCCAGGTTTGAATCACACTTCCAGCACTGGCTGTCATCAGAACTTAGGCAGTTTACTTAATAATGCAGA